AAAGTCCACCCAAATAACACTCCTAAAGAAGGTAGAGATAGAATGATAGCCACTTAGCCAGTGATACATTTAACTGTGTATGTTGGCCCGTTTTCTAGTCAATTAGTTGAATATTGAATATATTCTACTATGAAAATACAGGTGAAAAATGGAGCTTTAGGAATTTCGATAGCACTTTGTTCTCAGCTTTCTGTTGGGGTTCATTCTTGACAGATTGTGGATAGCAGGACCCTTAAAATATGTCATTAACACAGCAGAAAATCTGCCAGTGTGTGATTATGGTCAGCAAGGCACCAAGAGCAGGTCACTGGGTATGGCCTGCTTCCATTTCTTCGGCATGTATGACTAGGGTTGTTTTTGTACTTTGAAATAACCCGTTCTATTTTGGTAGACCTTTTCTTCCTTCTTTTTGAACAGCACAGTTTCTGTAGGAGACTCACAATGAACCAACCATTCCCGAGTGGAAGGGAGTGGTGGGCTGCGTCAATACGTCTGTTGCTACTTGGTATGTGCTGCTTCTGGGCTTTGTGGGTTTCTCTTGATTGTGCCCAACTTAACTGCCCTCCCTGCAGATCCAGCCTGCAGGCCATTGTTGCCCTCAATCTTATTCTCAAAGCGCTTTTATTAACTTTTTCTTTTCTGCTCTAATTTTTCTCCATCTTGCCTACTGTACCTGGTAGTCTTCTAACAATAGTGAGAAAGAAAAATACATTCCGGTGGTGTGGTCAGGGGGAAGCAGCAACTGTTTCATTAAAAAAGAAGAAGAAGAAKAAAAAAAATAAAAAGCCTTCCAACTTTGTTACTTTCTTTCCTACTAAGTGTTTGTTGAYAGAACAGGAGAAATGATTGAAAAGAACCAGCTTTCCCTAATTAAATCTGTCACTGTGAACTTTGCTCTTCATGGAGAAGAGCAGAATTTTTCTTTCTAATTAGTTACTTGTGATTTCTCAGGAAAAATTAAGGCAGAAGGAGATCGGAAGATTATTAACGTTCTTGTGTAATCAGAATCTATTTCTGTGACAGTCAGATGCCAGTGTAAGAAACTGCCAGTTGTTGGCTAGTTTGGGTTGTCCCATGTTTCCTGGTAATAAAACCCTTAATGAGGCTGGTCTTTCATTGCCTGGAATATAAACTATTTCCCAGCCACCCTTTTAGCTAGGTATCACTGTATTACTGAATTTTGATTAATGGCTTATAAGTGGGTATTTCCATGTTCAACTTCTTAGAAGTATCCTCAAGGATGGAAACTGCTCATGCCTTTCCTTCTTCCTGAGGGGAGATTAAGGTGTGATGACTGACTCCATGCTGTCATCTTTGACCTGGAGGTGTACCTTAGTTGATGTATAAGACATCTTGAGCTCTATCTTAATAGTTCAGCTTGTTCTAACAAAAATACAGTGTGCTTTAAATAACAGAGAATTGTTGTTCACAGTTCTGAAGTCTAAATTCCCAAGGTTAAGGTGCCAACAGATTTGTTGTCTGGTGAGGGCCTTTTACTTGTTTTCACTAGTGGATAGAGACCACAAACATTCAGTYCACGCAGGGATGGCTGAGCAGCAAGTCACCAGGAGTGTGTGGACTGTGTGCACATGAAAAAGAAACTCCCGTGTAATCCCTGTTATTTGTTGTTGCTCCCACATGAAGCTGGGCATAATCTTAACTGATTCATTGGACTCTTTTTAATCTTGCGTGGTGTCAGGGAGTCTTTTGAGATTTTTTTTTTCCACATTGGATTCTCATCTCAGATAAGGAATGCTTTATCTAGTGGACAAGAAAATCTTAACTCTTACTAATAAAAATGTGTAAGATTTTCCACGACATCTGGAGTCTTAAACATCATATGGGAAGCTGCCATCATGATTCTTTTTAAAAATCCCAGAAATACTCTTGACCTCTTTCTTCCCTGTTCTTGTAGTTAGCTATTGTGTGGGACAGACAAAGAGAGACCCTTTTGGGAGTGACCCAGGATGGAATGAGGGAACATGTGATGGTGAGAACAGCCCTGTTGGTGGGGAAGTTTGAGCCCCGGCAGGACAAGGGAAATGCCTGGTGGTGGTGGTGGGGGGAGCCAGGCATGAGAATCAGCCTCTGAGCCAGATGAGGGCATCTGAGCAGGAGGAAGGGCAGGAAGGGCTGGTTGTTACCATAGTTGTGCAAACGCCCAGTAGTTGGAAGCATTCCCCAGGTTCATCCTCATTAGGACTTAGTGAAGTAGTCACTCAGTAGTAGAAGGTAAGCTCAGGTAAGCACCGGTGCCCAAGAGGCCCCCTGGTGCAGCTCCCCAGGGTCACTTCCTAGGTGCACAGAGCACATTTCATTTCCAAGTTACAAACCATCAGGACATGTGGGAGGAATCTTGGTTCCAGGAGCTTTTGGCCCATAATGTCAACAGTGTCTTATATGCTTGCGTGGTCATGTGGGGCTCCTAGACTCTGTAGCCAGGTATGGGCCACAGGTCTGCACATCCCTGAAGGGCCTCAGAGGTGTTTCCAACTTGAAGATGAATCACTCGTWACTGTGAATCAGTACTGGTGTACTTGGAAATGAGCGTGGAGATGCCCCAGTCTTGCTGTAAGAGAACTTTATTTTATGCAGTTATATATAGGAATACAATAGGTAATGGTTTAACAATAACCTAAGTAGATARGTTAAAGGTAATGAGAACTAGAGTTCTCACTGTTAGAGAAGGAATTAAAAAATAGAATGAGTCCTGTATGTATTGGACTCAGATATGCTGGAGTGAACTAAAGGTTTTTAATAACATAAATAGACAGTAAAATCAATGTTGATTTTAGAAGTATGTGTGTGTGTGTGTGTGTGTGTGTGTGTGTGTGTGTGTGTGTATGTAGTTTCCTAGTTCTGTCCACTGAGGAGCTGAGATTACTGACTCCCCCAGGAACAGCTAGCACAACTGGTACCCAGAGTTTGGCTTACAAACCACATTTCCCACAGAAAAGAACCAGAGTTTATTGGAGAAATTGCTGATTCCTGGACTGTGTCAGAAAAAGTGCAAGATAAGCTTGAATATCAGAAAGCAAGGATGTGCTTAAAGAAGGATAGGGACATGTTGAAAGGACTTAGAAGCTAGCGTGGATGGACTCCATATGAGACACTGTTTGAGCATCAACATAAATAGTAAGGGATCATAATCCCTTGACCAAAATAGGAAACCACAAAACGATATGAAGATAAAGAAAAGCATATTTTAAAATGAACACTGTTGCCATTTTAGTCTGAATATTTCTTTGTCGTGGGTTGGTCCATCTTGTGCCTTGTAGGAAGATGTTCATCAGCATCCCTGGCCACTGCCTGCTGAACCAGTGCCATCAGTAGAAATGTAATGCAACCACAGCAGGACATTTTAGATTTTCTAGATTGGGCAGCCTCATCAGTTTTGACCTCTGGTGCAGGTGGCATGGTATAGACGGAGTGTGTGTTGGAGGGAGCGTTCTCCTCTCCAGCCAGGAAGCAGAGAATGAGGGCGACAGGGGAAGGACCAAGGTCACTCAGACCCCTTCCAGGACATACCCACAGGGACTACAGGACCTCCCACTAGGCCCACTTCTTGAAGGTCCACAACATCTCTCAGTGTCTCTACCCTGGGGACCAAATCTTCAGGATGGACCTTTTGGGGGGAAACTCATCCAAATTCTAGGGAGGACATAATGTGAGATGATGTGGCTTGCAGTTTATCCAATTGGTTGTCCACATCAAGGAGAGAGAAGGCCACAGACAAAAGGAGGCCAGAGAGATCTGACTACAGGCAACACAGACTGTGAAGTGGCCCTTTTCATAAAAGAAGCAGCTGTGGCTTTTCTGGGATGGGGGCTGATGGTCACATCGTGTCAGATTGACTTCTTTGATTTTGATGGTTCTATTGTGGGGTAGGGGGATGTTTTGGACTGTAGGAAGTATGTCCCCAAGTTGTAGGGCCTCAGGCCAGCCGCTGGATCTCAGAGTTTCTGGCCAGGAAAACACATCTTCGGGTTCTATTTTGAACTTTTCTATAACTCTGTGATAACATTAAAACAAAAAAATAAAAAGCATACAAAAGTTGTAATCAGGAGTGACGCATGCTCATTATTTCCTAAGTATGCTGGGATACAAATCCAACCTTGAGACTATTCTTAAAAACAATTTTTTTTCCTCATTATTGCTTTAAGGAAAAAATCTCTAGTGCATTAAAAGAATGTTCTTATAGACAGAATATTGGAAAAAGTTCTAGGTCTCTTTTTTACATAAATGCTGTGTTTATATGAAGCTGCCCACAGTGAAGTTTTAGAACCTAAAGTGGAAGAGTTTTCCCTTCTCTCTCTCTCTCTCTCTCTCTCTCTCTCTCTCAAATTCTCAAATGTGTAGATCTGTGTATATTTTCTTTCTTTACAGTTAGAAAAAAAAATATTGTTTTGCAAATGTAATCTCATTGAGCACATTAAACATCATGATAATATTTGAAGCTGGTAAGCAGTCTGCGTTTCAGACTGAGTCTCTGAAATGTCAACCAAAATATGTATAGAGGAAATGGTGAGGGCTTTTCCCCCTGATCATCTGACAGTGCACGGGCAGTTTCTGGATGATGGTGGAGATTAACATGTTGCTGCCTCTGTTTCAATATGGTGAAACATAGTTGAGGCCTTGTGCTACACTGTACCTTGGCTTCTTCTGAGTGGCACATGTTTAGGAGATAGATGGGCAATATTAGGCCCCAAGACCAGGTCGCCAAGCATATAGGTAAGTGGCCCATATAACATTTGAACCTGTGACATTAATCTCATTAGCTCTGACTTGCTGTGCTAATTGCACCTTTGATTGTGTCACTCTTCTTCATTTGGTTTAACATTTAGCAGATAGTCTTATATGAATCCAGCTTCCATTTTGAGTGGTATCAGTTCAACCTGTGAAGATAATTTAGCGGTTTACCTGCTGGGGGCACAAGTATAATTTGGATACATTTCCTGAATGTGGTTTTTAATTTTTTTTCTGTTTTTTTTTTTTTACAGTTTCCTTGTCCCACATCACACAACTGGTCCTCAGCCACAACAAACTCACAAGTAAGTTCACTTTGTCTTTTTTGTTATAAAGTTTCTCACTTTGGGAGAATGTTATGTATGGTACTGCTGATCCTGTTGTTAACTTTAAAGAAACTAATAACAAATGATTTTGGGGAAACTTAAAGTTTATTTAGTGGATAACTAAGAAATATGAGCATGGTGTCTTCCTGTATTTTATAGTCGACTCAGCTCCCATCAAAGAGCTCTTTTCTGTATAGAGAAAAGGACACTGTTTGTGTGGAAGTGGCTTCATTCAGGGATGGTAAAAGCCATGGTGACCAGAAATGCTGAACCATTGGTTAACATTGCATAAAAAAAATACTTGTCAAAAGTATTAGCCTGAAAGTTCTTTGGTTTTTATCTAGGCTTCTCTTCAGGAGAGGAAGACTTAAATGTTAAATAGGCTTTCCTTCTCTGCTTGATGGGGAGAAAAAAACCTCCAGATTGTCAAGTTCTATACATTTGCATCAACATTTTAATAATATTTGAGGCTAGTCCCCCTGCCCACCTAAAACTTCTCTTGGGCATGAACAGTGTTGTGGTACGGTTAACATGCAGTGGAATTAATATCTGTTTTAATGAGAATATCTTAGGTGAATGATGGGCCATTTTATTCTTAGTGCTGTGGCTCTAAAGATTTTAATGACAGGGGCCCTCTCTCCTTTCTCATTCCTAATTGACTGTCACATCTTTGAGCTCGCCATATTTCCTGCAGACTTGAATGGTTTTCTAATCATGTGGCAAGAATTTGTTCGAGTGCTTTCTGAGTCCAATGAAGTTGAGCAGAGTGTCATGTTGAGGGATTTGTGTTGTGAATTTATGTGTGTGCGTGTTATAGATGGCTTGGAGCAGTGTCACAGAGCTGTTGATTATGGAGAATCAAGAGTGGCAGTGAGCGAGGGTCCCTCATGTGCAGGAAACAGGCAGATGAGCTCATTTTTAGCTAAAGTGCAAATTTATACGGCAAAGACAGAGTGGCACAATGGTCACTTGGCAGTGGCCCCACAAGCTGAAAGTGAGACCTGCAGGTCACATGTGAACATTATAATCGGCAACATGTTGTGAGTTCCCTTGTTTTTGCGGGAGATGGTCCTGCTGTCCATGGAGACCCTAATCCCAGATGTGAGGGGATTTGCTGTTTGTTTTGGATTTCTAAATTCCCCAAGACAGCAAAAATTCTTGACACTCTTCACTGCACAGTTTACAAAGGTATCGCTTAACTGATGCACTGACCATTGTTAGATCTGTGTCATTATTGTAACAAAACAGATTATATGTAAGCGTGAAAGGCAAACCTGCCTTGTTCCTGTTATATCATCCATTGATCTGTCCTTTAAAAAAATCTTTCAAATAGTTGCAGTTTATTTCTTTTTTATCTGTCGGCGGAGAGAGAAATCTCAGGAATCAATGGATCAGCTTCTTTCTCCAGGCCTATAATATTACATAAGTTTAGAGGAGCATAAATAAGAAGTTAAATGGTGTGGGCTTTTTAAAGAGGCCATTGACCGTGAAAGAATCCAAACTTCATATTTCTCCACTCCCTGGTTTTTTTTTTTTTTTTTTTTTTATTGTTCTTTGTTTTTTCTCTCCATTTGAGACACTCTTGACCTAATCCAGTATAAACTCTAATTAATCGTCTTGGTAAATTCTGTTTCAAGCCATCTCGAGTGGTGTCATTGACACCCAATCTGTTCCACTAAGGTCAAATTAGCATCTTTTACTATTTTTCTGGCATTTAAATGAATGACTTTGCTATGGTTTTTCAAGTGTTTATAGTAAATATGTCCATTTGATGGAAATATAAATATGCATTAAATGTAAGTGGCTGAGCACACCCTCCTGTCACTTTTCCGTCTAATCAGTGTCTTTCATTTTCCATTGTTTTTAATAGGGGCTGCCTGACAAGGCTACATTAAAACCACTGGGACTCAAAAGATAAACCCCCCAGCACCCGCTTTTATCTCGCTAAAGTATTTGTGTTTTTCTGTTGCTTTGCCAATTATACTGCTCTCTGACATTTCTGCTTGGTGCTTACAGAATGAGTGACTAGCCTACTCCAGCCGAGGCCTTGATCTGGGGACAGACACTGTTTGACTCCACTTACTTGAATTAATATTTGCAGGGGCGTCTGATCCTTGTGACACTGAGTTGAAGTCCCTTTTCTTGTTGGTGATTTTGACTTTGATAAGTAGTACACACAAGGACACAAGGCCACGGGAAAGCCTACAGTGGGCAGCATGATCCTGAAATTCCCCAAGATTTTGTGGACAGAAATTCTTGAAGTTTCTTAGCTACGTAAAAATATTTCAAGGTGATCAAGCTATCACTGTTTGAGTGTCATCATTATTACAATAAAGCTGCTTAATTTAAACCTGGGGTACTGTGGCTGCATTTGATGGGTTTGGTGAAGTCAGTGGGGGAAATAATGTCGGCAGTAGCTTTCCCTGATTTGCATACGTGATACAGTGATACAGTCAGGAGATGGGATGCAGGAGCAAGTGGTTCCTGTTACTCCTGCCTTGCTTCTATGATTGGCCAGGTGCAGCCTGGGAACTCAATAGGGGAATTCTGACCCAATGGGTAGAGTTTCGGAGAGTAGATCCTTTTATTTTACCTTTCTTTTTTTTTTTTTTTTTTTTTTGCAGTGCTAGTGATAGAACTGGGGTCTCATGCATGCTGGGCAAATGCTGTACTGCTGAGCTATACCCCCAGCCCCAGAGTAAAAATCCTTTCAACATATTTGTCTCAGTGCCTGTTCACATCAGTGCACATGCCTAGTGCCAGGTGCTGTCTGCCTGACTTCTAGAAACTGTGCCCATCTAGCCCCATATCCCATCCAGCCTTCTTCCCCACAGCTGCTGGAGGAAGACTGTTTCTTCCCTGTGCACCTGTGCTCACTTCCCTCCTGTCTTTCCTACTTCCATCTGGAGCAGTTTTTCCCTGTCCCCTCCTGGAGGCCCCCAACTGTTCTGCCTCACTTGGCAACTCTCTTCACAGCCCCTTTCAGCCCCAGCCCCTGAGGAAACCCTSTAAGTTCCTCAACTCCAGTGCAGTTCCTTGTCCTTGGAAAGGTTTCACATGCGACATGTTTCTTCTCTATCTCCAACTAGAGTGGTTCAGCTTTTTTGAAAGCAGGAACCATTTTTTTAGTCTGGTTTAGCACCTGTGGCTGAGCGCATGGGGCTTTCCAGTTAATTCTGTGCAAACTGAAGGAAGGAGAGGGCTGACAGGGAACACCAAAGAGGAAACAAGAGTGGGGACTGATACAGGGACTTGAGTGGATCTGGTTGCCACAGACTTCTGTATTTTACTGGTCATATGTTCATTTCAGATGTGCTGGACTGTGAGTGCCCCAAGGAAATGCTGTGTTATGTCCTAGAAATTGGTGTCTGAGCAAGCCAGCTTTTTTGTTGCTGTAACCAAAAGACCTGACAATAATTTTAGAGGAGAAAAATTTTATTTGGGGCCCATAGTTTCAGAGGTCTCAGTCCTATGATGATTGGCTTCATAGCCCTGGGTCTGAGGAGTGGCAGAGCATCATGTCAAGAAAGACTGTGGCCAAGGAAAGCAGCTGGGGACGTGGCATCAGGAAGCAGAGAGAGACAGAGCTCCGCTCACCAAGAACAAAATGTATATCCCAGTGACCGCCCCCTCCTCCAGTCACACCYTCCCTGCCTACAGTTACCACCCTATTAATCCCTGCCACGGGATTAATGCACTGATTAGGTCAGAGCTCTTATTACCCAATCATTTCACCTCTAAACCCTCTTGCATTGTCTCACATGTGAGGTTTTGGGGACACCTTATATCTAAGCTATAACATTGTCCTCCTTACAACTACTGGGGTCCTTTCATAATTGAGGAGGGATGCTGTGATGGTGTTTGGGTACACCCARGTATGTGGCTGGGATCACAGCCACACCAGAGTGCCTTTCTCTACTCAGTAGCCCTCCTGGGCTTGGCTAAGTCCTCACTTGGTTTTACTTTTTTCTCTTACTACTTTGGGTCTCACGGGGGGACAGGGTTGTTCCTCTTTCATTAAAAATTAGTTTTCTGTATGTATGTGTCCAAATTATGCACTAATTTCCTCATACAATTAATTAATTAATCATGTTTCTTGTGGTGAGGAGCCCCATCTTCTACTCATTTTGTATCCCACCCCCACAAAAGTACTAAAAATATTTTAAACATGAAATAGGTACTCCGTACTGGTCAATTAATGGATTGATTAGGTGGCCAGCTGTGCTAAGTCCCAGCAGTCTGATATGACACACCCTAGGGCCTGTTTGCCTTCGKAATACTCCAAGAAGGAGACCTGGCAATTATTCCAAAGATTGTCTTTTTGAGTCTCTGTGCCCTGCTCTTTCTGAGTCCCCTTGCCTTCTTGGTTGTTACCCTCTCTGTTAAGTCAGTGTTACAGCTGAATCTTTCTCAGTCTCTCGTTAATCTGATCCATGGGTTTGATGGTATTGGGGAATGTCAGCTTTGTAAATGTTTTTTCCTTTTTTCAAAAAGAAATTTTTTGTGGAGACAATCATGTAAAAAATTGTCCACTAGAGGTCACTGTTGAGACACGCATTTTCCATTCCACCCCCCAGGTCTGGTATCTAAAGATTAAAAACCAACTTTGTGGTGTGAGAGGACATTTTTTGCAGGCTGTTTGGCTCAGTTCTGTATCACAGGACATATTACTGTTGCCATTTACATAGTATATTTTTATCACATTTTTAATAGATACATCCTATAGAAGGAGGTATGTTGTTTTTTATTTGTCTCCTAAAAGTATATATTTGGTTTCATGTATCATTTTTTAAGTGTTTTTTTTTTTTATGGCTACTTTCATGAGTTAGAAACATATCTTTATTTTCCATTATCTTTAAATTGGAAGAAGTATAGTACTTTCCATTGTATTTTGTATTGGACATTTATGAGTTTTTTTTTTAGCCTGTGGAAAAAGGTTGAAAAATGTCTATGTAATCAGATTTTAATTCAGAAACGAA